AGGGGTAATCCAAGATAATTATAAATGAAGGTGTGTCGCCCATGCTATGCTAGGTAAAGGCTTGCAGGAGCCTCCCCTTGAAGATAATAGGAAGTTAAAATGGTTATGAATGGTGTTAAATTTGATCTGCTAATAAAAAGTAACTTTTTTCTCTTCCTGGGTGGTTTGCAAACACCCCATTATTGCACACAGGCAAGTCAGGAAGTATTACTGCTTCCGTATCCTGGTATGGGCAATAGATAAGAGTTTAAGCCTTAGGCTGTGGAGTAAGTTAGTGTCAGGGTGTAGATCAAAGGATCATTAATTCAGTATCCAAACAGGCAGGTTAGGGAGGAAGAATTGCTATTCTCTTCCCCTCTCCATCCTGCTGCCAGTGGAAACAGATTGCAGGGAGAATCGAACCTGCCTATTGTGAGATGAGGGTGACATGGCTGAGGATGTGGCAGTACAAATGATTGCAAAAAGTTTGGGACCCTCTGTCTTAGAAAACCAGGGGACAGAGGGATGCTAGAGGTCATTTTCCAGTACAGCAGCCTTATGCCGCCTAGTCGTCTCCACAGAAATGACAAGCCATGACGACACACCAAGGTTAGGGGGATGGGGTGCTAGCAAGGGCCCTCAGCCTGTTGCTCTGTGATGTGCTGGGTACACTGGAGCACACTTGAAGTCTTACAGAAAGGAGCCAGAGGCTCCTGGGATAGTATGAGCCAACAGGGAAACACCGGTGAAATACCTCAAAGGAATTAAGGTGTGTTCCTCTAAAAAGGTGACACGGTCAACAGCCCAGCTGAAGTGCCTCTACACCAATGCACGCAGCATGGGCAACAAACAGGAGGAGTTGGAAGGCACTGTGATGCTAGAAAGCTATGAACTAGTTGCCATTACTGAAACCTGGTGGGATGAATCCCATGACTGGAATGTGGCTATCAGTGTACAAGCAGTTCAAAAGGGACAGGTGAGGAAGGAGAGGCAAAGGGGTTGCCCTGTATGTCAAGAAATGGATAGATTGTGAAGAGCTGTGTCTGAAGAATAGCCATGAGCAGGTTGAAAGCTTATGGGTAAGAATTAGAGACCGAGCCAACAAAGGGAGCCTTGTGGTTGGTGTTTACTACAGGCCACGCGATGAAGGAGAGCCTGTTGATGAACTCTTCTTACTCCAGCTACAGGAGGCATCACACTTGCAGGCTCTCATCCTGCTGGGGGGATTTGAACCACCCCGACACCTGCTGGAAAAGTAGCATGGCAAGCTGTAGGTGATCCAGGAGACTCCTGGAGTGCATTTAGGGTAACTTCTTAAGCCAGGTAATAGACAGCCCTAACAGAGGGGATGCGTTGCTGGACCTGTTGGTGACCAACGCAAGTAAGCTAATTGGTGATATCAAGATTGGAGGCAGCCTGGGCTGCAGTGATCATGCACTGGTGGGGTTCGCAGTCCTGAGGGCTGTGGGTCAGGAGAAGAGTAAAGTCAGGACCCTGAATTTTAGGAAAGCGAACTTCCAGCTGTTCAAAGAGTTAGTCAATGGGACCCCCTGGGAAACTGCCCTCAGGGAAAAGGGAGCAGAACAGAGCTGGCAGATCTTTAAGGATGCTTTCCATAGAGCACAAGAGCTCTCAATCCCCATGTGTAAGAAATCAGGAAAGGACAGCAAGAGACCAGCATGGATGAGTCAAGACCTGTTGGTCAGGCTAAAGGGCAAGAAGGAAATGCACAGGCAGTGGAAACAGGGAGAGTACAGGGATGTTGCCCGGTTTTGTAGGGATGGGGTCAGGAAGGCCAAGGCGTGGCTGGAGCTGAACTTGGCAAGCGAGGCAAAGAATAATAAGGGCTTCTATAGGTATGTGAGCCAGAAAAGGAAGGTCAAAGAAAGCGTACCCGCCCGGATGAACACAACTGGCAAATGGGTAACAACGGACGAGGAGAAGGCTGAGGTACTCAACAACAGTCTTCACTGGCAGTCTCTCTTCCCACACCTCTCAAGTGGATGGACCTCAAGGCAGGGACTGGGGGAGCAAAGTCCCTCCCACTGTGAGGGAAGATCAGGTTCGAGACCACCTGAGGAACCCAAATGTACATAAGTGTATGGGACCTGATGAGATACATCTGAGAGTCTTGAGGGAATTGGCTGATGTAGTTGCCAAGCCACTGTCCACGATATTCGAAAAGTCATGGCAGTCAGGTGAAGTCCCCGGTGACTGGGAAAAGGGAAACATTGCATCCATTTTCAAAAAGGGTAGAAAGGAGGACCCTGGCAACTACTGACCTGTCAGGCTCACCTCTGTGCCTGGGGAGATCATGGAACAGATCCTCCTAGAAGCTGTGTTAAGGCATATGGAGGACAGGGAGGTGATTCAAGACAGCCAGCATGGCTTCACCAAGGGCAAGTCTTGCCTGACCACCCTAGCAGCCTTCTATGATAGAGTGACTACATCAGTGGACAAAAGAGATATGGATGTCATCTATCTGGACTTCTGTAAGGCCTTTGACACGGTCCCCCACAACATCCTTCTCTCTAAATTGGAGGGACATGGATTTGATGGACGGACTATGTGGTGGATAAGGAATTGGCTGGATAGTCGCATCCAGAGAGTAGTGGTCAACAGCTCAATGTCCGGATGGAGATCAGTGACAAGTGGTGTCCCTTGGGGGTCTGTATTGGGACCAGTACTGTTTAATGTCTTCATCAGTGAGTGACATGTACAGTGGGAACAAGGGTACAC